CCATAGATCTTTGCCGCGGCTCGAACGGTTAACTTTGGGTCTCTTTCAAGAGCAGCTATAGCAAGAAGAATCCGATTTTCGTTCGAATGCGAGACCATGACGCGTTGTGGAGAAATTCAACGTTTAAGTGTGGAATGCCGCGTTGTGGTGAAAAGTGGTCCACTCGCTGATATGGTCCACTCGCTGATAACGCACGTTACCTTAGTCGGTAAAATACAGAGTCAATTTCCCGGCACGAAATCAACCCCAGCGATCCTGGTGGCAACGACATGACCGCTACTGCAGTCCCTTCCCCCGCTACGTTTGATCCCGAGGTTCACTACGGCGATGGAGACGACAACGCCTTATACAACCTGTTTGCGACATGGCCAGAGAACTATTTCAGCAGCCTCCCTAAACCACATGGTAATCGCGGAATTGATGAGCCCTACTGGGAATTGCGGCAGTCACAAATCTTCCTAGATGACTGGTTCCGCGGCCGTGGCGCACGGCGGTTGTTCACGTCTTTCGTTCCAGGTCCCGACAAGCTTGAGAGAGTCCGCATACGCGAGCAGACAAATGCGAATAATACCGAGCAGCACGCGGCAAGCAAGATCCGTTTTCGATTCGCCTTGCATTTTGCCCAAGATCAAGCCAAGTTGGACAATGCACTAGCTCTAGAACTGGCTCAACACTGCCTGGCACATACTACGCAGCGGGTTGCTCGAGGCGCTCGAGATCCACCACCACTGTCGGTCTCACCGCCGTCACCGTCGCCAAGCCAGGAGCAAGACGAATACGAGGAATGGGCCGGTCTGTCCGACACAGGGTCCAGCAGTCACGGCACCTCGATACCCATCCCCAACCCGCCAATCCCTGGCCCTGCCATGGTATCGGTCGATGCGCTTCAATCCTCCGTCAACGATTTCGCGAAAGAAAATGGATTTGGTGTTGTCAGGCACAACGGTTCCGGCAGCCGAGTGCGGAAGACCAGATATGTGTTCCAGTGTGATCGATACGGCGAGCCTCGCACATCAAGAGGCGCAGGTCTCCGCCAAAGGCGGTCGCGCAAGTGCGGTTGTAAGTGGAAGGTTATTGCGGAGACCCTGGAATAGAACGACTACGGGTGGACGCTGCGGGCGTTTGCCGACCCTCAGCACAGCCAACACAACCACGACCGTACTATGAGTCTGTCAGCGCATCCAGTCCATCGGAGGCTTACTGACTTTGTCAAGGCAACCATTGAAGCGACAAACCGACGAGTGGGAATAAAGGCGCGTGATGTCCGTGGCATCGTTCAAGAAAAGCATCTCGAAACGCACCACCATATCAACGCAAACGTTCTTCTCAATGCGAAACGGAAGTGGAAGAACGCAAACGAAGGTGGGGAAAGTGATGGAGATGGTAGCTCTTGCAGTGAGCAGACGCACGTGGCATTGACTCCGAGGGATAGGGAAGCTGTGCTCGCAGCAGAGAAACAAGACAACCCGCTACCCCAGGGCAACCTCGCTGCACCTGTGCCGCACAACTACCGTGGCGTCCTCGAACTGTGGAAGTTCGTGGCTTTCGCAGAGACAAGGGAAGAACACGAAAAGGCTTGGGCGGACCTATGTGACGAGTTCAACGATCAGCCGGCCATCCTTATGTACCTGTACAAGACATGCCTGCCCATACGAGCACAGTGGGCACAATGCTTCATCAAGAAGCACCGCAACTTTGGAGTTCGGGTGACGTCTGGTACCGAGGCCAGCAACAGCAATATCAAGAGCTACCTGCTCAATGGGATGAGCCATTTGTACTCACTTGTTGAGGCTGTTGAGGCTATGTTGAGAGATCAAGAGCGAGACTTCATCGATGCCTGCTCGCAGGATGAGGTGCTGACCTCTCGAACATATTCGGGCCCTGGTTCAGAGTATCTGGGAGAGCTTCGCTCGGTGATTTCCGAGTCGGGACTCAAGCTCGTTTCCAAAGAACATCGACGGGCCTTGAGATCGATACCAAGCAGGACACGTCCTTGGCCGAAGCCGATCGGGGATTGCAACGAGGAATGTTCCGTCTCGTGGCAGCTTGGGGTCCCTTGCTGCCATACAATCTACAACAAATTAGAAACGGGCACGTCCTTGACGAAATGGGACGTCCACCCTCGGTGGCACCTTCGGGAGCCAACTTCGCACAATCCCTACAGCCGAATTCTCGACCCTAAGATCGCAGCATGTCTCCGAGGCCGACCGAAGCATGCGACACAGCGAGTCCCTGAGAGCATGAAGGTTGGGCCATCAACCCGTAGTCGAGCAGCAGTGGGCAGGACTAAGCCGAGCAGGAAGCCCACGCGCAAGTCAGCCGCCCTTGGGCCGGGAAAGCAGACAGGCGTGCGACAAGCTGGCCGTAGGAGGCAACCTAACTTGCGGCGGCGACGGTCAGAATGGGAGACCATCTGTGATGAAGAGAAGCAAAAAGTTCCGCCGAAGCGGAGACGGCAAAGCTCCCGTAAGCCGCCTACCACTTCTACCACTGCAGCGGCTTCTGTCTTGTCAAGTTGTGTTAGCGGGGAAAACGGGAAGGATTGTATCCATGTGCGACTGTAATTGGGGCCACGAAAAATAAACTGCTCTGGAGAGTTTATTGGTATCTCAGCTGTGCGGTTAAATCCAAGTCCAAATTGCCTTATGCAACTGGAGGCCTGCAACTGGAGGCCTGTTACTCGAGCTAGCTCCGCTGTCCCCATTCACAAACCACAGTGCTGGAGAATGGCGGACTCAGGAATGGTGTGGCTGAAAACCAAACGCTTGCCCGATTTGGCAGGTCAGCCACACGGCGTCCGTAAGACGGCGTCCGTAGTAAAGTGGTTCGGCGTGCCTAGCAATTGCCTTTCCGTGATCTCTGTGGGCCAGCTCTTCGGCCCGGTCTTAGGAGGCATTTTGTACGACTTGGCTGGCATTACCGCCGTTTTCGCTGTGGGGACAGGAATATTAATTATCGACCTTGTCATGAGACTCCTCGTCATTGACAGAAAGACAATGAGGAACGATAAGAGAGCTTTAGACGACGAGTCAAGCCAGAGAGATCATGGGATGAGAACTACAATACGGGTACAGTCAAACGCCCCATGTGAGGGCGACCCTTTGCTCCAAGCAAACGCCGCTGCGGTTTACAAAGTTCATGGAGATGTGGGACGCTTAGTCCGCATTGTCCCTATACTGTACTGTTTCCGGGAGACCAGATTGTGGGTGGCGATGATCCTCGCCTTTGTTCAGGCATCGCTACTTGGTGTTCTTGATGCCACTGTCCCGATTGAAGCAAAGGATCTGTTCCACTTCACTTCTCTTAAGGTGGGGTTTCTTTTCATTGCACTCGTGGTTCCGTTCTTGGTAGTCTCGCGGCTTTCTGGATTGGCAGTGGACAGATACGGGCCGAAGGCAGTGGCTACAGTCGGTTTCTCCTTTCTAGTTCCCTGCCTTGCGCTCCTGGGTTTACCTTCACAGGATTTCATTACCGAAGATTGGAAAGTTGCCCTATTCTGTCTTATTCTGGCCATAAATGGCGTTGGTATGTCAGCTATTGGCCCACCAGGTTTAGTGGAGGCAACGACTGTCACTCAGCTGTATGAAGCAGCCAACCCGGCATTTTTTGGGGAAAACGGACCTTACGCTCAAATGTTTGGTTTCAACTGCCTATTCTTTTCCTCGGGGTCGGCTGTCGGCCCTTTACTTGGTGGCATACTCAGGGACAATATTGGATTTGGAGGCATGGGTTTTACCTTCGGGGGCCTCTCTGCTGCTACTGCAATACTGTCATACTTGGAATTAAGGGGGTAGAAATGTTGAGTCGAATCGCTGATTAGACACCTAATTCAAACAAGATCAGATGTTCTCCATCATGGAATATCTGAGGAGAGGCTGGGGGAGGGTCAGGGTGACCCTGACCAGTCGGCGCGCAAGGAGCCAAGGGTCAGCCTCGACGGAACGCAGAAATTAAACACACATCCGGGATATGACACCTGCATCCCAGTAGGTCACTGGACAAATTGCAGCACACGGCCCAGGGTAGTAGCATTGCGTTAGCATAGTGTTGGCTACGCCGAATCCGGCATCCACAGAGCCGAAGGCATTGGAAGCGCCAACATCGTGGGTAGCATAGCGGATACAGTCACCAATATCCACTCCCTTCTGCTCGGCGGTAAACTTATCCAACCAGCACTTCAGATTTAGTTAGCAGCCCATGGCCTATCCGAGGTCAATATAATGAAAGGTACAGCTGTCTAAACGGCCAACTGGCACCAATCAAGGGCAGCCGTTGTCTCGCGGGCACGTCTCGTGTCCCAACCCGAACGTTGGTGAGTTGCCAGCGCTTTGCATTGTGCGTGGACCGTGGCCGGGATTCTGAGACTTTGGCAATCCTTGTCCTGCTGGACAGGCTCGTCCACACCGGTGAAGGTTCTGCCCAACGGGCTTCCGTGATTGTGCCAGCCTGCCGCTGTGGCGTCAAGCCCCAAGGTCCCTTGACGCGCTTCTCGTATCGTCGTAGGCCGCGGCCACACCACTGGTTGGAGAGCTTGCTGTTTCTTCGTTCGTGCCAAGCGCCGGCTCCTTGCAGCTTGTCCGAGAGTTATTCCCGCGGCTCCTTACAGCTGTTCGACAGCTGTCGTCTTAGCAGCCTAAGCTGCGTCGACCATACTCGGACCCTGGTTGGCCTCTATGTGATTCATCTACTCGACCCCTTGCAATTGGCTGCCTCTGGGCCTCTGGGCAGCCGCATAAGAGCTTCGCCATCCCGCCCGGGCCTGCTCTTTCAAGTTCTCTCCTGCAGCGCGGTCAAGTCTCGCCCACCTCATCATTGCCCCCCATGTTCGAGTCGGCCTATACTATCGTTCTCCACGGCAACGACGCGACCGGGAAGTCTACTCTCGCCCCCGCACTTAAGGCAGCAGGTGAGGTCGTCTATGCTCGTGGCGACGAAGATCCCGCGCTCGAAGATACACTGGTCGTTAGGTCCTTCGACAGACTCACGTTGCAACTTGCTGACGACAACCGCGCTGCCCTACCCGAATCGTACACAGATGAAGATGGAGTTCACCGCAGGATCGTCCGAATTATCCTCGATGCCGACGTCCCAGTCCTTCAAGCGCGGCTCGCGAACCGGCCAAGCACAGACAAGTGGGAGTCTGAAAAAGCCCTCTTTTACTTCCGGGCGCGATTCCTTGTACGCTCTCATTTCCCTTTCCCATCGACCCATTTTAACAAGTCATCAGGAACTAGCCGCGTTCTACGGCCTGCCCGTCGTGGATACTGGGAAGAAGAGCGTCGACGAAACCGTCTCTGACATCGTTGCCCTCGCCCGCAACACGGAGGTCCTCGCGCTTTTCTCTAAGCTTGCCTTGCGTACACTAACTCCGAACGATGTCGCTTCCTTAGCAAGTCGCCGCGCGGTGATCCCGGGTGTGGACTACGTCGAGCGGCTGGAAGAGATCATTGCCATCGAGTGCGGCGCGACCTCGATCTTCACACCCGAAGACGTTCGTGCCCAATGCAATCGTGACCCGGGCCTCGTGCATGCGCTCGTGAACCACTACGACAATCTCCATGATGCGAACTCCCCGCTGCGCCTTCGTCTGGTAGTCGAAGGCGAGTCGAAGCAAATCTACAAGGTCGAGACGTTCCTGACCCGGCACTTTGACAATCACATCCTTGTTTTGCTCAAGCCGACCATCTATTCCCACAGCAAGCAGGCGACGGCGGAGATCGCAGGCCTCAGCGCAATCCGTGCAACCGGGTCCCGTCTCTTTCTTGAGATGCTCCATCGCGCAGGAGTCAACCATACGTATCAAGGCCTGAACTCGCATGGACTCATCTGGGCGCACCGTACCGAGATTACGCAGATCGAGACGGTGTACAAGGAACTCTGCGCGGGGACGGACAAGCATTCCTTCTTTGGCATGGTCACCGACCTCAATGTTACACTGCCGACGGGCCAGTATAAGCGGGGGCCATACGTCCGCTTCGACTGGCGCAACCCGAACCACACGTACAAGGGCATCAATCCTGCGACGCACCCGTTCTACCACCTCATGGAAGAGTCCATCGGCAAAGACGTGTTCTACGACACGCACCTCACTGCGCGCGCAAAACCGTTTGGGGACAAGTGTGTGCCGGAGGAGCTCGTGCACGGCGTGCAGGCTGTCGAGGCGTCCGTGGACTGCACGATGCGCATCTTCTTCACGATCCAGCACTACCTTCACCAGATTGGGCTCGAGGTCCAGGACGGATGCGTCATGCTCGATCCGACCGGACGTACGATGTGGTCCGAGATAAACCAGGATTGCATGCGCATCAAGCGGCGGGAGGTCACTAATGCGAACCACGGAGACGAATTCGACAAGGACGTCTGGCGCGCGGGCGGCAGCTCTGTGGAAGAGTCCATCCTTGACAAGTGGACGCAGCTTAACAACCTCCTCCGCGCACAGCTTGCCGGGCGCCCATTCCACGAGCACGAGATGGTCACCCGGTACGAGACATACGGCCTGCGAGCGCGGGAAGTGCTCGTGGACAAAAATCTGAAACTCACACCGCGCTACCGGGCACTATACGAGCGTCTTGCCGTGCATGATCGCTCGCGGCTGCAGTCTGTGTCCGCGGACGAGGGCGTGTCCGAGCGTCTGCTCGCGCTCATGCAGGCGCACATCTGGCAGCTTACCGCCGCCGTCTCGCCCCATAACGCGTATGAGGAAGCGGAGGCGATGGTTCGGCTCGTGAACACGTACGCGCGCCGAGTCGGGCTGCCCCCATCGCAAGTGAGCGTGCTCACGGACGCGTACGCCGACGCCGCCCTCGCGCGAGCGGCCACACTGCCCGGCTCCCAGGCAATCGGCGTGACGGTGAATAAGTACACTGACAAGACGGACGAGTTTACGCTCGAGCAGCTCGGCGTTAAGCTCGTCCGCCCCGAGGGCCGCTGCTTGCGCGTCGACTACGAGATTGTCGATGCGGCTAAGTTCGCGAAGGTTTTCGGCGAGGGCGTGAGCGTGCATTTCGTGCTTACAAGGCCAAAGGACATGCCGGGCCTCCTCGCGCAGGGCATGCTCGACGGCGCGGTGACTTACAGCTCGGTGATGGACAACTTCCCGACTGTCGCGCGGCTCGTTGCTTCTGCGCCAGACACGGACATTTCGCTCGCGCTCATTGGCCGGCGTGGTCAGCAAATCGACCCGCGCGTGTGGACTGTGGACAACCGCGCGCGGATTGTGGCGGAGCACGGGCGAATGGTGCGAACATACCTCACGAGCCTCGGCGTCCCACCAGATACGTACGAGATCCAGCGCGTACTAGGCTCCTCGGAGTCATACCTTGTCAACGACCCTCGCGAGACATACCTTCTCTGCGATGCTATCATATCTACCGGTACCACCCTCCAAGCGAACGGCCTTGAGGTCTGGCAGGTCGTTAAAAGCAAGGGGGATATCGTCGTCGGCCTCTATCTCCGACTGTAGAGACACTCCATTAGTATAGAAATCGCCGTAACTGTAACTGTCTCGATTGAGTGTGTTGACCACTAAGCTGAGCGACTGCAACCAGAGTGGCGCATCATTCATTAATAATGATTGAAATGAATCGCAATGATTGATAATGGCATGGCATGGCATGGATTTATTACGCCCGGAGGGAAGTCCCTATAGGGCCTCGACGCTGCTTAATGAACAATCTGGTTCGTTTCGTACGTGACTCCCCAAGCCCCACGTATATATCGTCGCAACATTTTAAAGCCAACCTCGTCGTCCTTGATCTCATGACAGGCCTGCTTGAAGGCCAAGTTCTTCAAGTGTTCAGCATCCTACTCTCAGCAACTGAAGCGTGGTCTGCCAATGTCGAGGCTGTTTTGTTAGTATAGTCGCATGTTAAAGATGAACGTCCTGAGTGGCATGACTTGTTGCCAGCCTTTTCGTCGCAATCGCGAATCTGATCGTCGCACGCACAGCCCGCATGTCCGGTTCCCACTTGTCGTCATCCGACGTAGCTTTGCCTCCCAGAAAGAAAGAAAGGCTGCCAATCTTTGTTCGTGAGCATGTAAAGAGAATTTCCCGTTGTCCTGACCACTTCTTGCACCGGAACAGAAAATGCTCTGTCGTCTCTGGTGCTTGTCCACAGTCGCACATGTCCGATTCCGCTGCACCTATCTTGCGAAGATAACTGTTCAGCCGCATCATCCCCGTCCGAAGCTGAGCGAGGACGTCTGATTCTCTCCTTTTCAGCGCCTCGTATAACGCACGAGTATGTCTGCCCGGTAGCGCCTTGTCGATGCGCTTCGAATACTTTCCAACGCTATCTGGCAGCTGTTCGCGCGGTCGTTCCTGGGCGAGTGCAAGCCGGAGCGTTGTGGAGCTCGCTTGGTACAGTGGCGTTTCCACGACACAATCCTGCTCAGTGGCTCGCTGCGCTGCCGTTTTGGCCAGTGGTCTGAACGTACATCGTTCATCCTTTGCCGGCAGCCACATAAGCCTGACACAACAGCCATTCTTCTGAAGGCGTTTTGCACGATCGTATATCTGACGAATAGTGCATTGTCCGGATTGTTGCCGTGGCCGCCTGATCGCAATCGCCGCTGAGCGGTTGCTCGTGACGACCGTCACGTCTCGAGAGACACGGCCAGGTGGTACGTTTCTCAGTGCTGCTTCTATCGCTGCGAGTTCCGCCGTGTATGGGTTTTGTTCACTGTCAGGTCCGAGAGCGACAGAGTAGCTGGCGAGGATGCGGCCCGTGTCACCATGCGTTGTATCGCAGACCACGCCTCCCATACCCACTCTGCCGTCCTTCTGCGAGCTTGCTGTTGTTATAATGATTCCTTGTGGATTTGGTGGTTGGACCGTCCCTGCGAGGTCCATCTCCGCCGATACAGGGATACGTTTCGCCCATGGTCGCAAAGCGAACGCGCTAATGACTTCCATTCGCTCCGTGGAAGCCTTGGCCACCACTAAGGCGATGCCTTGCATTGGCGAGAGGTATCGCCTGCTCGCCTTGTTCCTCAGCGCTGCCAGCGGATGCGTCTGCGGAAGGGTCCGCAGGTCCACGCAGAGCCTCGTCGCGGCCTGCCTGTGTCGTTCCTCTATAGTCGGAATGCTGGCCTCCGCCTCGGCCACAGCGGTGGCAACGGTTCGGAACGCTCCGATGACCGCCTGCGCACCGATCCGCTGCGCTTTGTTCAGCCAGCCCGTTTCCTTCGCCCTACGAGCGTGCATCCAGATTGATAATGGTGTGTGTGTGTGTGTGTGTGTTTATTTAACGTCTTGCGGGTATTCCCTATCGGGACAAAAGACGTGCTGAGCTAGGTGCTATTTACTGCATCCTCTCCTAACATAGGCCACCGGCTGTAGACTTATTCGGTCCCTTGGGATTCTCCATCAATCCGCGTTGCGACGGGCCTTGCTACCAGGACGCGGCTCTTCACATAGGCCTGAAGACTCCCATAAGTAGCGCCCCATCCAGCATAGGCTTCGGCTCTTTGGCGCTAAAATGCGAGGCCCTTCCCCGTCAGCGGGATCCAGGCGCTGCCCGCCCTCGCGGCCTCTGTGAGCAATGACCGTCTTTACATCGCTCGGGGCCACGAGTGCAAGGCGAGGTCAACCCTCGGTTTTGCTAGCCAGAATTCTCTTGCGCCTCGGCCGACACCGCTGCCGCGGTCTGCACCCCAGGAACCAGGTGGCAGAAACGGCCCAGGCGTAGCGGGAGGGGAAAACCTTTGGAAGGGATCAGAGGCCGACGAGCGGCTTGCCTTCAAGGAGCTTGCGGGTGAGACTGCCTGGCACGGAGGCAATACGCGGGGATGTATATCCAATGCATTACATGGAATAATAGGGCGGCACCAACATTGGGATTCGCATAAAACCCACGGAGCAGTCCTCGCCGGCAGGGAGCCCGGTGTCTCCTTTGGCGCTGCATGAAACGGCAATCTCAAGATCTGCTTCGACATGGCCTTATTGTGCACTCCATAGTGGCGCCGCAATTCGTCTGAGCGCGCGAAGCTCTTCCTGCAGTCAGTTGAGCAGCAAACGTACGGCCTTTCTCCCGTGTGTGTCCGTAAGTGCCGTGTACGGTGTTCCAAACGGCGGAAGGCTTTACCGCACTGAGGGCATGCATATGGGCGAGCAGAAGCCAACTCGTTCTTCGAGGCTTCGCGTAAAGCACCAGCGTTGCGCTTCGGCCGGATGGTGCGCTGGTCAGGCATTTCGCCAACTGCAAATCATCGAGACTATCGGATTGGCCTTGCTTTTTGTGCGAGATGCGTGCAAGATAAGGGCCGCGGTTACAGTGCCAAGAGGCGCCTACTGCTAGCTCCCCAACATCCTGGCAGGGTCACACTGTTCCAAACGGCAGATTGTTCAGGGCACCGTGAATGATGCAGGACAAACAATCTTTGGCGGCTTAACTCGGGGCTCAAGGTACACTCACTAGTTGATTACGCCCGGTGGCAGCTTGGCCAATAGGGCTACTATCTGCTTATTTGACATTCTTGTTAGGCAGTCCTTCCCTGGCTGCCTGAGCATCCCTGTTATGTCCAATTTCTCCTTTGATCTTCTGCCTTTCTGGCTGCTTTACCGTCGCACTACGGGGTCTCGTGGGATTGTATTATTAGCAAGCAAACTTGAAGGCTATTCTTCAAGTGTTCAGAGTCCTATCTACGGCGACTGAAGCGGTGCCTGCTGTTTATGGCACGAGGCGCTAGGTGTGGGTTAAGTTAGAAAAGGAGGGTGGTGGCCGTGGCCTGGTCAGTCTCGTTTGTTGTCAAGCCGTCCTGTGGCTAACGTAAATCGAATTGTCGCTCGAACTGCCGTCATGTTTGGTGTCCATTTTGCGTCGTCCGACAGTGACTTTCCTCCGAGGCAGAAAGAGAGATTACCCATTCGCGCCTCACTGCTCCGTAGGATTTCAGCGCGCTGTTCTGTCCATTTTGCGCAGTGGAACAGGAAATGCTCCACCGTCTCCTTGGCGTATCCGCATGCGCATTGCTGCGACGGTGCTGCCGCGATGTTGTTGAGATAGCCATTTAGCCTCGACATGCCCGTCCTAAGCTGTGCTAGTACGTTTGCTTCTCTCCATGACAATCCGTCGTACAGCTGCAACGTGTGCTTGCCTGGAAGTGCAGCGTCAACTTTCTTCGAGAACCTTCCGACATCAGCTGGTATTTCACGAACGAAGCAATGAACCGATCGGGCCAGGCCGAGCGTCGTCGATCGCATTCTTGGGAATTTGAGCGTCGGATTGGCGCCTTCCTTGGTGGCATCGCGCGCCTGTACCTTGGCACAATGCAGAAGCCTGTTTTCAGCGCTGGCGGGTATCCACAGGACAGCCACCATGTTTCCGTTGCGTCTGAGTGCTTCGATGGAGTCATATATGCACCCAACATACTCTTGGCCAGACTGCTGGCGAGGGTTGCGAAGTGTGAGAGCGGCCGCTTTGTTGCTCGTCAGCAATGCAACGCTACGATAGCGCAGCTCCGGCAGGCGCCGAAGTGCACATGCCATGGCTGCTAGCTCCCCGGAGAACGGATTCTGCTCCGTCCTCATGCCGATTGTGAAGGAGAATGGCTCGAGCTTCGGTCCTCCCCGCACCGACGCTGGGAGGTCGACCACGCCGCCGACTCCTACTAGTCCGTTGCGTGCTGAGCTGCTCACTGCGATGCGAACTGCCCAACCTAGGTCTGTCCGCGACACCACGGACGCGTCTTCGTCAGCCGTAATGGCTTGTACTCGCGCCGCCCATGGGGCTAGGGTGAACGGATTGATGGTTTCCAGTTCTTCCATGGGGATCTCATTGAGTGCAGTCGCGACTTGGTAAAAGGGGGACCTTGCATATCGTCTGAACTTCCGGATACGGGACGTCGTGCTGCGAAGCGGGTTGGTCGATGGCAAGGTGTGTAGGTTAGTCCACATTCTAATCGCCCGCTTCCAGAAGCGTTCTTGCACGCTGGCAATGCTCGCCTCTGCCTCCGCTACGCTCGTTGCCACCGTGAGAAACGTGCCGACAATGGCCTGCGCCCCAACTCTCTGGATTCGATGGATGGGACCGGCCCGCTTGTAAACGCATCTGTGCATCCAGACGTTGGAGGCATAGTCCACCACTGGGGCCACCATGGCTGCGAACAACTGTCTTGCGGTCGCCGGCATGAGACCTCTGAGCCGCTGTAGCTCCATGGCCGCTTCCAAGCCTTTTGTCGCTGCCCAGGCAATGTGTTCTTTGTACTTGAGCTGAGAGTCCATGATTACACCGAGAACCTTGGCGTGAATTTTAGGGTGGACAAGCTGACCCTTAATCACGTAGGGCTGCGCGTCCAACTTGTACGCCTTTCGAGTGAAGTGTATGATGCACGTCTTGTGTGCCTCAAAGGTTGCGCCGCTTCTCTTTTCCCAGTCCAACGCCTCCTCGATAATCGCCTTGATGCCATTGCGGTTGCTCTGTGCCGTTGGGCCAGTGACCCACGCGGAGAAGTCATCCACGA